AACAAATCTATAAATTGAACAACACACAACCACTTAAACTAAAATTTTAATCATTATTGATAAACTAAAGAGAGCACTATAAAGTCACAAAAAATTAAACTTGTTACTATACATATTTGTCTATGAAAATAATTTAAAGCTTATTAAAAATAAAAATATAAGTAAATGTAAGATAATAAAACGAATATGTCACACTTCATTAAGTAAGAGACTTTGTTCACAAAAAATATTTTAAAAAAAGTTTGATACATTTGGAATAGAGAATTGAGGAAAATAATTTAGGAGTTTAGATGTACTTAGAAACTCTTTTTAACAGACTGACCAATTTCTTTAATTAAAAGTTTTTGTTTAGACACAAGAACATGAAGAGCTTCCGTGTATTGTTAGTATATTATATTAAATATAATAGAATTTATTAAAATAGTATTTTAAAACGGTTTGGTCTGGGTACCTTTTTTTTTCAAATTTTAAGATCCGTTCGGTTCCTAATTTTTTAAGGACCCGCCCCGCCCCGAACCGTTTGGGTTTTCTAAAATTAGGACCCGCCCCTAACCCGCCCCTAACTTGTATTACATGACCCGACCCGCGGTTCCTGTACCCGTTTGTCCACCCCTACCTCGAAGAGAATTCGCTTTTAGTCGTCCACCCCCGTGTTCCTCTTGCCGCCCGACATCTGTTGTTTGTGAATGTGATTCACAGACAAAAAATGGCCTCTCACATTGGTGAGTATAATTAGGGTAGGTGCAAATAAGATTTTTCTTTTTTTCATAGTATAAAAACTTTAATGTAAATGATGCATTTTATTTTAAATAAACTACTCTAAATAAGAATAAATTATGAACATAATCCAAAAGTAGAACTAAATGTTTTTTGATTCATAAATAAGACTTATCTAATCTTATTAAAAGAAGAGGGTAGTTAAAATTTGGAAAAAATACTCTAATATTACTAAAACTCATTACTTTTCCATGAACTAGTATAGTACCCGTGCGATGCACGGGAATATTATTTCCAGAGTATATTTTTAACACATCACATTTATTGTAGTTTTATAAAAAAAAATGAAAATATTAGCAAACTTATTTCACATTTATACACAATCAAATTAGTTACATCGATCAGTACGTTGGAATGCTATGTTTAAAAAATCGATCTGGTCCGGCTGGGTCGAACTGGAACCTGGCGATCTGGACCAAAACCTGGTTCGGTTAGTCAAAAATCCGGAAATGGTAAAAAACCAGGAAAACCTCAGCTGATTCAGAAAAACCCGGTCCAGACCGAGACCTGAAAGACCCGACAAACCCGAAAAAACCGGTTTTGGATGTTTTTTCCAACACAACCCTTCTGATCTCATTTCCCTTCTCGGCTTCTTTTATCTGCTCTGAGGCCCGCTCATGCAAGTACAGAACACAGGTCCGTAAGTTCAACTTTCAAAGGGTGCTTTTATTGCCACCCTTTAGATATGAGTACATTAATTCAATGGACAATTTAATATTCTCTCTTTTTTTTTTACACTTTATGATAGTATGGATTTTCGTCAAGTATGTACAATTTTTTATAATATATTTATGATGGTTTATTCCAACGTATTTAAATCTAGGTCTGTCCAGGCAATGAAACAATTTTCTTCATATGAAAGAGATAAAAACAGGTTCAACCTGTGTTAAACATTTTTTCCAATGGATAGAAAGTACTGTAATTGTTTTATTATATTGTTGGTTTAGTACTTTGATTAATATTTTAATTTAATATAAAAAATAAACGAAATATACCCCTATCTTTGAGGACATTTTGGGGTGATTCCTTTCATTATCAGATTAGTATGAGTTTTATCATACTAATATTGAAAGTTTTGCTAAACACCATTTCTCACTACGTATATTGTATAGAAATTTTGGTAATAGTTTTTTAAAATTTCAACATTTCCTTTATAACACGTCGAGGAACGCAGATACAAATTCTGTTTAAAAGTTTGTTTTCTCATGATTTCGGGTTTAATTTGTTTTGCAAACATTTGTCCGCTTTGAAAGTAACAATTTTAAGATATTTTGAAATTGACCATAAATTGTTTTAAAAATTGAAAGACTTCCATACAAATATGATCTTGATATAGCAGCGATTGACAAATGATAGGTGTTTTGTGAGCATAACCCTCAGTGGTGTTCGACTTATTTTAAAATGATCTTATAAACAGCATGCACACGCGATTCATGGATCGGAACATTTGGAAATGAATTGTTTGTGTTAGGATCTTAATGTATACAATAGTTACATACGGAGTATTAGACACCCTAGATTCATTAAACAAAGACATTAGAAATTTAGAAATAAATAACCGTTATGTATTGCCAATAAATTAAATAAAAAATAAGCATATCATCATATGTACCGACTCTTCTATATCTCTTGCTAGTGATTCTCTAGTACTCTTGACAGTTTGATCACCCTGTTTTTCTACTTCATTGTTCTTATGTTCACAACATAAGTCTTTCTTTCACTTGTGTCGCAAGCTTATGTACCAAAGAAAAGCTAACCTTGAACAATGAATAAATGTTTACTTGTCTCATTTTACTTGCTATCTTAAGCAAATCTGGCTCGCTACTCTCTCGTTCCCTTCTCAATAAAGAACATAAAGCAGACTTATTACCAAAAGCTTATACTAAGTAGTTGTTTGTATATTTACATTGTTTACTTGCAAAAACATGACTATTTTGGACTATTATGAACTTATTTATATAACATACCGATTACGTGATATTGCATTGGGACCGTGTCATGAAGACATGCTAACAATTGAGCATTTATTTCAATTTAATACTACCTCCGTCCCAAAATGATGGTCCTGTATTTCCTTTTTGGGATGTCCCAAAATGATGATCATGTTTCCCTTTTTGGAAAGAAATATGTGGTTCATATCATTTCACTTTATTATATTCAAATCTCAATAACAACTTTTACCTTTTTAATCACTTTATTAAAACTTGTGCCCAAAAGAAATGAAACCATCAAATTGGGATGGAGGGAGTATTGGAATACCAAAAGACAGATGAATGATTTTATTAAAAAGAAAATGTAAAAGATTATTAAAGTTGGTCATCCAAAATGTACCATCATTAACGGTACTATATATTGGGAATGCCAAAAGACCCCCTAGAAATGTCCCACCATCAATGCTACAGACTACGATACTAATTATTATTTCAATATTTGGACTTTAAAGAACATTAAAACAACATTATTCACAAGAACTAATCAGATGTAGTTCAGCCATTTCTACACTTCCCGCTCAAATGGTTGCTCCACTATTCTGTTTATATATATATATATATACATATATATATATATATATGTATATATATAGATAGATAGATATGACCATATATGTTTTTTATGTTATCTATGACCAAATTAAACACACATACATGAGCCGGCTGGAGTTGGTAAAATAAATAAACGATAATGCCTTTAATGCATAACTAATCCCTTATTTTTAGGAATAGTAATTAATACATTCTTATGCATGCTTTCCCTTCATTGGCGCTTAAGGGAACATCGTAAAAGAGGGATAAGTTATACATATGATGATAATTATGGTAGTAATAAATGTTGGATTGGGTGAGTACAAGAAATAATTGGAGGGCAGTAAAGAAATGAAAAATAAATTAACTTGCAATAATTGGAGGGCAGTAAAGAAATGAACAATTAATTAACTTGTAATAATTGGAGGGCAGTAAAGAAATGAACAATTAATTAACTTGCAATAATTGGAGGGCAGGCAAGAAATGAACAATAAAATAACTTTTTGAATAGGATGTAAACACATAAATGACAATAATATGTATGAAGACGGTTAATGACATAGGTTGTAATTAAAGATAATAAATGGATTATTCTATTGGTAGATAAATTCTTGTATTTTATATATGATCCATAAATGGAATAGGCAGTAAACATAAAAATGGAAGTAAATATATAAGACGATAGTATAACATGTAGAAATTGTACGTCTTAAATAGGAGCAAAAAAGTTTTTGTGTTCCAAATTATGAGTCTCATAATTTTCTTTTCTAAATATGAGTAATTATTGTCATTTTTTGACAGTAGCACACTATGAACATGACATTATTTTTCAAACTTGATAGTAATTACTCTTATTTAGAGAATAAAAACATGACATTCCTTTGACCATAGATTTCTGACTTCACCACCGGTAGCATGTATAATAATAATAATAGTAACATAACATATATTTAATACAATAATCTAATAATAATAAACATTGCAGATATGATGTAGGTATGGTTTTCCTTAATTAGGACACTAGTACAAAAAAGCCTTTTTACATCACCTTATCTACATGTGTTATTTTAAAACCCATGTAGAATACTAACATGAGGTCATTTTTATAATTTTTATAAACTTTTTTTAGATGGGTTGTTGTTGTTATAACCCATGTTAAATAGAAAAACGGGGTACATTTTAAAATTTTACAAAATATTCTAAATCAGTTATGTTTGGAACCGATGTGAAAAGAAAAACGGGGTAATTTTTATAATTAAAGAAACTTTATGCTAGATCTGTTAAAACTGACCGATGCCAAAGAAATAAAAAAAAACAAAAAAATCCCACTTTTAGTCCCATGACTATTATACTACTTCCACATTTAGTCCCTTACTTTCAAATTATCAACATTTAGTCCGTGACTATTATCCCTTCACCACCTCTCGTCCTTCCGGCCAAAATTTAGGCAAATTTAATACAACTTTTAGGTATGCAAAACCAAATTTAATGCAAAGATTGATATGAAAAACCCAACTTGATACAAAATTTAATGCAAAGACTGATTCTGAGGTTGAGAAGTGGACTAAATTTGCCGGAATTTTGGCCGGAAGGACGAGGAGTGGTGAGAGGTTAATGGTCACAGACTAAATGTGGACAATCTGAAAGTAAGAGACTAAATGTGAAAGTGATATATTAGTCGTGACACCAAAAGTGGAATTTAATCTAAAAAAACACTTCGAGCGACTTAGAAACGGAAGGACTTGCGCGCAGACTTGCAGCCCTAGACAGGGTCTCTTCATCTGCAGCTTCGTTTTGACACACAAAGCCTGAGCGGCAGAGATGCCGCCGGCGGAGGTGCAGATGCCCATCACTAAACCTTCGTCCTACGCAGCGGCGGTAAGGGATTTAATCCCCGGCCATCGACTGGACTCTCAACCACACATATCTTCCGATGTCCACTTCCAAGGGCTACCGGCGAAGTCTCCTCGTAGATTCAGGGGCATTCCGGCTGTATCATTCACTGCAAATGAAATTCAGGTTCTATCTTCTATATTTCGTTATGCCCTTGTTGGGGCCTTCCCACAGAAACGCCCTCCCCTTTCTTCGATACGGAAGGCCATGGAGGCTATAGGGTTTTCCAAACCCTACTCAGTCGGGCATCTCCAATCGCATCAGATACTTTTTAATTTTCGTTCAGATTTGGATTTTCAAAGATTTTGGCTTAAAAATAATTGGTACTTCTTTGGTTGTGCTATGAATGTATCGAGGTGGACTCCTTCCTACTATGTGGAAGCTGACTCCCCCTTGTGTCCCGTTTGGGTAGCCATGGAGGGCATACCAGTTCACCTACATGATGTGCGAGCTCTGTACGTCATAGCTGGCTTACTTGGCAGACCACTCAAAATTGATGCTCCAACTGCTAATTTTTCTAGGCCCTCTACAGCTAGAATATTGATTGAACTTGATATCTCTAGGGAACTATCTCAAAAAATTTGGATTGATAATGGTGAATCCGGCTTTTTTCAGGCTGCGGTGTACGAAAATTTACCTGTATTCTGTACTGTTTGTTCTCGCTTTGGCCATACCAGTAGGAATTGCTCCCGGGTCTCAAAACCAATGATGCAAAAAGCAAAGGTTTCTGGGACTAAGGATCTAATAACTGATGTTCCAAATATGCTTGTTTCAGTCCCTTTGGTTGTTGATGCTACAAATTTAGTTGTTGGTGTCACCTCATGTGATACCATGATCCCAAATAGGAAGGCTGGGGATAGCCTTGTGTCCCCTGTGACCGAAAAATCCCCCCCTATCTGATTATGATCAGGACAACTCCACTGCCCCCCTGGAAACTAGTATTGAGGGTACTGATACTCTCTACAATATGCTCCTATCCTCAATTTTGTAGCTCCTACTTCTTTTCTTCCTCTTTCCATCCAAACAACTTTGAACTCCACCATCTGTAACCTTTTCTCTTATTTCTTCTTTCTTTCCTATAATCTTCATCCCACCTTTTGTTCTTTTTACTTCATTTGCAGTTGATAGACCAACTATCTATTCATGCTCCTGCTCCTGAATTGAAACTGAAGGTTCTGCTGAAAGAAATTGCTGAGGAGCATGAACTAGAGTGGGACCCAAGTGGGACATAATCTGAATTGTTGAAGCCGCATGAAGACTTGCTTGTATGTCACTATAGTACTATGGTTTACTTTAACCTGCATTCTGGTACAATGCATATTACATCCGTAACTACTAGTGGTTGACAAAGTTACTTCTACAAATTCATTTTCGACTTAGATTTTAGACCTGTTACTTTCAGTGTTAGAGAATTTACTTGAAGTCATCGAAAGTTAAGAAGTCCACTAGGAAGTACCATTCAAATATGGGATCTGTTGAATTGGTTTTAACATGAAATTTTCATCAAGTTTATGCCAAAAGTGCATTTAGGAAAAGTTTCCAATTGTCTGTTATTTGGTTAAAAAAAGTAAAAATTACTAGAACACATACTTGGCTCCTTGTTGAAGATAAAATTATTTTTTTATGTATTATTTTCTTTTTAAATTATTGTTTGCCTTTTATCTTATTTTTTATGTATACAAGAATCATTGCCAGCTCTTTATTCTCTCTCATGTCCAAAATACTATTGTCTTCTTGTGTTCTTTGGGGAATAAGCTAAATAGACAATTCAAAAATATTATTGATGCGTAAGTATTTTGTAGATTCCGTTTTATTTAATTTTTGAATATATATTGTATATCTTAATTACATAAATAATTTATTATTATATATATATATATATTTAAAATTATAAATTACATAGTGCAATGGAGGAAAGCCGTGGGCTCAAGTCAAGAAAGGGAAGAGTGGAATGGATTACTCCTATGGTAAATACTTACTACTTTACTTTGTATGTTATTTTTACTTTCATTTGTGTAGCACCAAGTCGATTACCGTAATTCCTGATTAGTGATTATGTTGTTCTAACTTGTAGTCTCGAATGCAAGTTGGGAGTTATGAATGTGGTTATTATGTGATGTTGCATATGTTGAATATTGTTTCGGCGGTAATTCTTGAAATGTGGGATGAGGTATGTTATTATTTTATTTACATTCAATATGTTTGCTCCATGTAATGTTTTTTAATAATCTTCTTATTTAATTTGTAGCGATTCGCCAATCCGGAACCATTCTCATCAGAAGAGATCGATGAAGTACGAACTCGTTGGGCATCATATTTCTTAGAAATGACGCAATCCATCAATGACACATGATAAACGTGTTTGTTTAAGTTTTTGAGTTATGATGAGACTTGTAACTTTATACAATGTGTTATTACTCTAGACTTGTGCAAGGATTGTTTTATTTTAGCTTATTATTATGTACTAAGTTGTTACTTGAACTTGTTTAACATTTGTGGAAGAATTGAAAAATAGCTTGTGTTATTGTTTTAGATGGATTAAGTGAGCATGTGAAAAATTGTGCTATAGTAGTTGATGATACTGTTAATGATGTGATTATAGTATAAACGGGGTCATATTGCAAATTTTTTCGTAAAAAATACCTAAAAAATTGAAGCTTTTCACATCAGTTGTGAAATAACCGATGTGATTGCTTTTCTACATGGGTTATAACTTATAACCGATGTGAAACACATATGTTCCGCAAAAAAATGAAGCTTTTCACATCAGTTGTGAAATAACCGACGTGATTGCTTTTTTACATGGGTTATAACCGATGTGAAAAACCTGTGCTCCGGGAAAAAATGAAGCTTTTTACATCAGTTGTGAAATAACCGTTGTGATTGCTTTTTTTACATGAGTTATAACTGATGTGAAAAACCTATGCTCCGGGAAAAATTGAAGCTTTTCTACATCAGTTGTAAAATAACCGATGTGATTTCTTTTCTACATGGGTTATAATCGATATGAAATATCATTAAAAACGCCGTTTCAGACTATCTTCTAGATCGGACACTAAACGACCGATGTAGAAAGAATTTCCACATCGGCTATTTGACCGATGTGAAAAGTCAATACTTTTCACATGGGCTGGAACCACATTGGCAGTTTGACCGATGTGAAAAACCTTTTTGACCGATGTGAAAAGCCTTTTTTTACACTAGTGGGAGTTCGAAACAATGTTTGGCCGTTAGCATAAAGAGGAAACAATTCCTCATTTTTAGGAGGTTAACATTTACATTCATGTCGTGCAAAGCTATTGAATTGAAATCCATAATTTTAGGAGAAAATAACTACTTAGAGCATCTTCAATGCATTGGTGTTAACATTAGAGCATCTCTAATGCTCTTCTTTTGACTGAGTATAATTTTGACACATCACACAAATTTGAAGGTTCAATGAAATTTTATCTCCAATGCAGTCTTTTGTTAGCCCTGTTAAGTTGATGTGTAATCAATTCTTTCAACCCCGCTTTTTAATTGGAAATAATTTTATCTCCAATGCAGTCCCTAATTTGAAGCTAAACGTGATGCGGTAAATAAGGGAATATGCAACGGAGATGCAGAAGAATCTGTCTACCGCAGATTCCTTTTCTATTCTAATTCTTTTGGAATTAATTAAATGACAACAAGGTAATACATTAGCCCATTAACATTATACGTTGGAGGTCTCCTTTTGCTTTCTTTCAATTTGTATTTGATGTGGATAGAAAGTATTCTATTTAATTGACATTTGGCAAAATTTAACAAATGTGAAAAGAAGAGCATTGAAGGTGCTCTTAAAAAAAGAAGAGCATTGGAGATGCTCTTAAGAAGGTCGCTCTTATCTTTCTACTCCAGTGCTTTCTTTCTTGGGTCATGTGGTGCTGAAGTGTCAAAAATAAATGTAGACGCGGTGAATCTCAATTTCTATTCTAAAGAGCCTGTTAAACAGGCTCACACATCCAAATAAACTCATCGTGGGTATGAAGTGACGCGTTTTCGGATCTTTGGGAAAAAACTGGTGCTCGTCTCCTAAAAACAAGTGCCTCCGCTATATTCTACATCCTGATACAAATCCTCCTTGAGCAAGAAAAGCCATTTATCATACTCAACCATTTTCCCCTAACCAATAGCTGCTTTTAGGCCATCTCCAACAGTCTACATCATTTTTTACACTAAAATGGTGTAAACATCACATCATACAGTATTTTACCTCCAACAGTTTACACCATTTTAAACACCAAAAAGGAATATTCCCTTTTTAATCTTTTTACTAACTTTTTACCATTCTTCTGTTTAAGTATGTAATTATCATATATTTATACATTAGCCCCTCATTTAATATTTTGACATTTCACACATTATTTCACACATACAAACTAAAATACACCATTTTAATATGCATTTTCACGCATTTAACTAATTAAAATACAATAATCAATATTTCACAAGTACAAGCTAAAACAACATAAAATTAATATTACAATAATATTATAATAATTTGTACGTCATTTCTAAATTTAAAAATAATAATAATTGGGAATCAGCTGCATTTGGGAATCAATTTGATGGTCTTGGAGGGTCAGGAAGCGGGTTGAATGACTACTAATTTCTAAATTAGTATGTACTATGTATGTTTTTAATTATGTTTTAATTTTAATTATAATGGTGTTATTAATTGCAATTTTAATTATGTACTTTTCTTAAGTATCATTTGTATTCTGTTATTATGTTGTTTGGATTTGAAACTCTATTTATAATATTGTGTGATTTAAATTTAATTATATTTTTTTATTTTTAATCAAATTAATAATTTTAATTACTTGTTCTATACGGAGGTTTTTAGTTGGATTGCGATTTGTTCCAGATCAGATCAGATCGGATTGACCAAACTTGAGTAGTTATAAAAATATAAAGAAATCAGACCTGACCACATCAGTTCAGATCAGACCAAATCATACCAGACTAGAGCAGACCAGCAATTTCAGTCCAAGTAAAAACTTCCTAATTTGTTGTTTTAAAAATGGGTCAAAACTATAACAATCAAAACTTTGGGTCACTTTTGAAATAAAAAAAATCAAAACAAAAAATGGTGGAACATTTGGTGTGCGCCATATTTGGTGTGAACTCTCCCCCTCTCCCCCATTTTGGTGTAATGGTGTTGAAAATGGAGTGGCTGTTGGAGCAATTTTTTGGGAAATACACCATTTTGGTGTGATAAATGGTGCTTGTTGGAGTTGGTCTTAACCTCCCTAAAAGCATTTGCTGAGATGAAACGATTGACACTAGACTGCTAGAGGATGGCCTGCCCATTAAATGAAATATTGAAAGTTAATTATTCAATTAATGATTTTTTAACAAATTGTGAATCGGGCATGGTTTCTTGTAGAATCACTTACGCTGTTACGGAAGATAGACATGGTTAATTAAATTCTAATTAAAATTATGGACGTCAACACAAATGCATTGGAGAGGTTTTTGAGCATTTCATTATTTGAGTTTTGACATTCATCCCATGTGGATAAACATTCCATACATTAATTGACATGTGTCACAAATTTTTCAATGTCAAAAGCTTTGCATCGAAGATGCATTTATTATTAATGTGTGCGGAATATGAGTGAAATTAAAATAAATAATTAAATAATAAATAAAAGCATGTGCAAGCTAAGACAAGTCATTATGTGAGTATATCACATTAGGAAAAAAAGTGATGAGTCATATATTGAGAACATTATGTTCTTTTAGTCATAAGATTGATAATTTTCTCTTAAAATTTCTCAAATTTGGAGTCGGTTAATCTCACGAGTTTTGGAACTCTTCTCTCGACTCTGGTCTTGTGGATGCCTAAACCCGCCTTCAGTCCTACTTCGGATAATATGTTTTTTTTTTGGCAAAATGTTTTTATTTTAGGGAAAATGGAAATTAATAATCCAACCTTTTAGCAGTCTTCATTCGTTGGTCCCACTTTATCGTTATTCATGAATAATCCAACCTTTGCACCTCATCTTCATTCGTTGGTCCCTGACCGGTTCATTACCTGCTATTCCAGGTTTTTTCATTTTCTTTGCAAATCATTCAACCATAAATCCCACCTTTCATAAATCTTCACCAAGCGGTCCCACATGCCATTTTTCTTTTTTCTTCCTAAAACTTTTCCTTTTTTATTTTTATCATCTTGACTCTTTTATTCCCCCTTTTTGTCTTTTTATTTTTATTTTTATTACTTTTTATTTATTTTTTTATTTTTTTTCAATGTTTATGTATTCCATTTTTCCTTCTTTTTCTTCTTTCCGTTTATTATTTCATTTTCATTTATATATATATATATATATATATATATATATATTCGGATTACTTTCCTTATAAAAAATCTTTTTCTCACCGTACTGACTTTTTACTTTATTTTCTTTTTACTTACACTTATTTATTTCCTTTTCCTTTTCTTACCTTTATTTTACCACTAGTATATATTTGAGAAAATAGCCCCAAAATAGGACTAAATTAATTCCCAAATGCACAAATAGGACTATGTTATTTATCTCTGCTAAAGTACCATCTATCTTCTTATTCTAAATTTCTACCATTACCATAACTTAATAGGATAATCATATTTTACATTATAATAAAATATTGTCTATCTTCTTATTTTACATTTCTACCCTTACCAAACCTTTCTTTTTATTTTGTTACTATATTTTTATAAATTGAAATACCTTTTGTTATTTTTCTTTTTTATTATAATGTAAAATATGATTATCCTATTAAGTTATGGTAAAGGTAGGAATGTAGAATAAGAGGGTAGACTCTATTTTATTCCTATTTTGGGAAGATAAATATCATAGTCCTATTTGTGCATTTAGGAATTAGTTTAGTCCTATTTTGAGGCTTTTTTCTCAAAAATATATTAGTGGTAGAATAAAGGTAAGAAAAGGAAAAATGAATATAAGTGTAAGTAAAAAGAAAATAAAGTAAAAAGAAAATAAAGTAAAAAGTTAGTACGGTGAGAAAACGATCTTTTATAAGGAAACTAATCCGAAAAAATATATAAAAATGAAAATGAAATAATAAATGGGAGGAAAAAAAAAAGGAAAAATGGAATACATAAACATTGAAAAATATTAAATAATTTGAAAAGTAGTAAAAATAATAAGAAGAAGACAGAAAAGGAGAATAAAAGATTCAAGACGATAAAAATAAAAAGGGAAAAGTTTTAGGGGAAAAAAGAAAAATGATATGTGGGACCGTTTGGAGAAGATTTGTGAAAGGTCGGATTTATGGTTGAATGATTTGTAAAGAAAATGAAAAAACCGAGAATAGCAGGTCATCAACCGGTTAGGAACCAACGAATGAAGATGAGGTGCAAATGTTGGATTATTCATGAATAACGATAAAGTGAGATAAACGAATGAAGAAGCTAAAATGTTGGATTATTAATTTCCATTTTCCTTTTATTTTATTCTTAAAATTAAACTTCGTCAAAAGACGCGATGAAAAACAAACGGAGCTTTTGTTTAAATTGA